AAATCTACCAAAAGGAAACAAAACTTTCCTTATTACCAACCCAAATTTTTTCTACCAATTTGGTAACAATTTACCAAAGTGGCAACCCTGGCGCTGGCTCTAATTAGGTCTCTTTCAGTCGCGGCGGAGTACTTCTGTATTAGGCTCATTAGGGTTCCTGGTCACAACGACATTACGGAGAAGTATGTGGCTGACAAATTACTAGGAAAGGTACCCTCGAAACGTTATCACCGAATAAGGAGCGGCTGGGAGTGCCTTTGATCGCCTGTGGTACACTCTGGATAGATGACCCTAATGTCAGTTCAGCTAGCGCTGGGCGAAAAGCAGGACATGCGTATTGCAAGATCTTTCGGGTCGAGGGTGGACAGTGGGCGGTAGAGGGTACTCCTCACAATTACAAAACCACAGATCTCATTCTTGGTAGGTCTTGGTTTAAGCTTTTAGTGCACTGAGTTCAATTAGCAAGGCATTCAAGATTACGTAGGAATGACTTGCCAGCGCAGTTGTAATACTCTTTGGGCCAGTTAAGAAAATAGACATCCAAACTATAGGAAGTAAGTTAAGTGGATATATTAAAATTCGCAAAGTTGCAGTTATGCTCTTAAGAAAGGTAGATTCAATAAATAATAATAATAAAAAAATTTAAAATTATAGAAAAAAATAACCAGAATTAAATACTAAAATATGTATCTAAATATTTTTTTGTTTTGTAATATGAGAAAAAAGGATCTATAAAAAATAAATGCTGTCTTTTACTAAAAAGTTCTCTTGCCTACGTGAAGCTACATATTATAAATAGTAAAAGAATACTAAAAGCGCGTGCCACGTACCGTTTCCATTCTAGTAATGTATTTTAAGCTACACCTTAACTTTTTTTGAAAAGTCAGTTAAGCAACTCGGGACCTCATGGCCTGCGGCATGTGGTGCGCTTATAGTTATGACACGGCGTGTACATATGTATGTAAGTAAATATGAACTATGTATCCGCAATAATTTTTTGCTGGAGTTTATGATACATTACCTTTTTATATTTTTTAGTCGTAAGCTTACGAAAGTAATTAAATTAGATATTTGCTATGTAAACAAACATGTATGTTTCTATGAGCATTAAGGTGATCCAGATAAAGAAAAAGATAGACACTAGAGTGGTTGGAAAAATAAAAATTAGTAATTACCTAAACTGATTTGAAAATTTACTTGGAAAGGATTTTGGCGACATAAAAACACTCGTTTTGAAGAGCCATGAAAACAGCCAAAATCGAGTACTACTGATGTTTTTTGAAGTGTATATAAACAACTTTGCTCTCGGAACATTTTCGTTAACCCTGCAGAAAATTTGTAACAGCTGCTTGCCCAACCCAACAGAATATCTGTAATTCCTATTTCAGGATCATTTGGGACTAGTTCTGAATCATTTCGCGATTTGTTCCGGTCTATTTCGGGACCGTTTCGCAACCTATTCAGGACCATTTTTTGAGTAGTTCGCGACTAGATGAGGACCATTTTGGAACTGATAAGCGAACCTTTCGGGAATATTTCAAGACAAATTCACGTCTTTTTCGACCGTTTCGGGCTTGTTCAGGACTGTTTCAAGACGTTTTGGGGACTTGTTCGGGACCTGATAACGACTATTTCGGAGCTATTTCAGGACCAACTTATGACTAGTTTACGACTAACTATTTCAGTACGATTTCAGGACTAGTTCGGGTTAATTTCGGGCCTGGTTTAGGACTATTTCGGGATAGGTCATGACTATTTCAGGAAGATTTGGAACAGTTCTTTCACCTTTTCAGTAACCCTTCAGGACAATTTTTGGCCTAGATCGGGGTAGTTAGAAACTAGTCGTGAAGTGATTTTGAAATAGTCCTTAACTATTCCCGAAGTGGTTATGACAAAGCCGTGAATTGAATGGTATAAAGAAAGGCCTTTCGGTTTTCAACGACTACCGCTAAGTTAATTAGAACTTTAGTGATGGATTTATAGATCTTCAGGATTAACTTCCGTTCTGCTCTCGGCTAGAGTTGGGCAATTTTATCGATCGCTGTCTTGTACCGCTCCAGGAATCCTTTATCGTCACAGGCAATAAGGTGTGCGCTCCCCTGTAACTCGCCAGAGGCTACACGTGATTGGGTTGAAACTGGGTTATTCCGTTATTTGCACTGCGACTTTTACCAATGGGTCTTGAACCCACCACTTCAGTGTTTTCATTTACATAGCATTCTCCATCAATCGTTTCCGCTTAGCAACCTTTTTTATACGATCCGATGTAGAAATCTAAGATTGTTTCACTTTTACGAAGTGGCCAGATGACGGAGAAGTTGTACTTCGGTATCGGTGGGTGGCTTTAGAATGGTCCGCTGATCATTTGGTTGACTCTGCGTTTCTGTGCAATAAGCTCATCCGGGTGCGCTGGATTTTTGGAGTGAAAGTTTCCCGGCAGCCCTTGGCCTTCTCCTATCACGAGTACTTTGGTATTAATGCAGGTGGGAACGCAAGTCACAGTAAATAGTCTTTTTGCTACTGAAAGAGGGCTCCGTGGACAAAAATTGCACAGGGAGATGGGTGTTTTAGTGAGTGGTTGCCGTTCGAATCGACAGTTTTCCCAACGGGAGGTTCCTTGTAGAACTATCATAGAACTATCTTTGTAATATATTTAGGCCAAAAGGAAAACATTAAGTAGTTATGCTTATCGAATTACTAAAAAAATTGTTACCTACATGTACCACATCCTAATGTAATTACATATATACCTGTTTCCATCTGTATGTGCGATCAAGTTACATGGGAAATGGCATCCGTCAGCGGCCGGTTTTGTGAAGTGAAAAAAACATTTTTAAAATACGTACATACATATATATATATGTATATGTACTTACATCATTACGTATATATATTTAATTATACTGATTTAATTATAATGCACTTTTTACAACTACATACATATGTTTATTTATTTTGCAATTAGTGGAAGGATAAAGCCGACATGTCTGGTGAGAAAGTTATAGCCGGCATGCGTGGCTATGCGTGACTTCTTGGAAAAATTTTGCCTTACATTAAATCAGAAAAAGTATATTTATCGTTATAAAGAGCTCTAAAACAATAAGACAAGAATAATCTGTACTAAGAAGTAGTGCGGGAAGGTTAGAGGTGTTACGAAGTAGGCGGACGTGAATTGGCGAAAAAGGGTGCAATGTTTTTCGACGTCAAACGCACTCACAGAGAATGCTTCCGAGCTGATACATTTCCTAACGGACTGCAACGAGCCTATCACTTTGTATTCAAACCACTTCTGGACGAAATACTTGACGGTAGGATCGAGTGTTAAAAGCCCAAACTACTTACAATAGCCCAGTGGCTGTGACAGTTTTTAAAATCAGCTGTTACTGCTAAAATGGGCAGCTAGCCATTTACATATGTATTGTATATGTATGTTCATTGAACAGCGCACTTTCTAAAAAACACCTGATTTCGCAAAGCTGCCATTGCGCTATTGTATTTTGGGCTAAAGTCTCACACTGATGGCTCTGGGGTTAGGCTTTCAATGCTTCCTCCTTTCACAAAAAAAAACATGTTGCGCCACTCTATAATAAATTTCGCCTAAATCAGTTTTTTGTGCTCAAGCACTGGAAAGAAAGCTTTGGATTTTGCATTTAATTGTCGTGTTCTCTCAACATTCTATCTTTTTACAAATTCTTTCATAGCTGCGACAAGTACCCAACTTCAAAATATTCTGTCAGATCTAGATTTTTTGCTTGAATTAGGCAAGGCTAGAAAGACAACAGAGGAAAATTGCCTTTTAGTCCATATATCCGAAAGTTGGTGCCCTTCTTGCTTCATTAAACTAACTGAACCGCTATAATATTTGTTAGTGTTATTCCTTTGATTATTCTTTCTTTTTGACTGGCTATGTAACTGGCCAAGCCCATGGTATTTGCTGTCGCTAATGCGCAAAGGCACACAGAGAGAATTTTTTTCTTAAACAAAAATATAAGAAAACAAGAAAAACTAAACTTGTTTTTGAACTAAGAAAAGCGATTCTTATTATCAAGAAGATCTAAGAAAATATAATTTGAAAATAAACAAGATAGTCGGTTTCACGAGTAATTTAAATGGAAAATGATTTATTTTTTTCTGTCATTTTTCATATAAGATTCAAAAATTTAAATTATTTAATGGCTTTCGTGAAATTTGCTGTAAAACAAATAAGAAAACGTTTGTTCAAATCATAGAAATTTTTTCTTCAAAATCATTTAATAAATTAATTCATCCTCCGTGAAAGGAATAAGTTGTAATTTTGCTCGCGGCGCTAAAACAGGAGCAATGGTTTACTTATTAGTTTTTTACAACGATTTTTTTTATTGTAATTTTTAAATTGTATTTTAAAATGAAAATAAATACCTCATGTATTTTTTATGGTATTTGGTATTTGAATCCAACTTTCAGTAAAAACCTCTTCTCCGTGCATGTAAATTTAATGCAGAATTCTTTAGTGGAAAAGGCTAAACAAGCAAAAAATAAAGCTAAATCAAAATTTTAGTTATGGCAAAGAAAAATAGCTAACTCAACAAATCGAATATTTTTGGCCGTTATTATGACTTCATAACAGTGCCAATGTTTAAGATAAAAATGACGCAGTCTTGAAAGGGACAACTTATTTCGTTCATTTATAAATTCTCTAAATCCTCTTTTTAAAATATGTTTGATTTTTAGAATCGCATGAAAAATAGTAGAGCTGTTAAAAGATAAGAGCATGAAGTACGGAAATAACGGCTAAAAAAATTGACGGATTAGGAACTGTCAGAAATCTAGTTTCATGTTGTACTAGGCCCTTCCTAAATCCCCCACTAAGTAGATATTGAAATATTATAGACAAAATATTTTGTGCTTACGGGATATCTGTAACAAAAAATTTTCCACACGGGCTACTCAAGATACGAGTCGTTCTCCGTGAAAACGTTTATACATACATACCTATTTTTTAATAAAAGTTCAATTATATATAAGTTAGCAATAAAAAATCTAATTGCCTCAGTATAAAGATCAATCACTGGCTCATCATTATTATCAAAGTGAAACAATTTATAACTACATGCATATAAATACTAGATAACAATAATTTGCGTAGTAAACTTTACAAGATTTCAAAGATTTCATCGTAGGGTGTGGTGTTGAATATTTTCGTTGCACCCTCTTTCATTTGCTTGCCAATTGCATCATACCAAGGTCTCTTCATTTCATTATAAATTTCTTTCCAATTTTCATTTAGAAAGCTGTTTAGATTTTCCCCCAACGCCTTATCGCCATTGAAAAGATTTTCGAAATGCATTGCCAATCGTTTCGGCTTACATTCAACGCGTAAATCTTTTATATTCATATAAGTTTTACCATCTTCGATGCGCGCGGTGGCATCTATGATCATTTTCATTAGTGGTTCAACTGAAAAATTGGTAGAAATAAATAGAAAGCAAAGTCATACACCCATGAGCAATAAATTTTGTAAGTGAACTTACCCAACGTGATATTACTCTTGCCTTGACCTTTTATGGGCAAAATCAGCACTTTGCCATCAATTTCATAATCGGATATCATTGAGATGTAGGGCGCGTGCAAAAGCAATTCATGGCGACCATCTGGGGTTTTGCCGAATCCCCTGCAGCATAAAAAATACATATGTAAGTAGGTATGCACATATATTTTGATTAAAATTTAAGTAGTTATTATTTTTTCAACAAGTACAAATTTCATACTCACTTAACCTTCCTCGCTCTTATGTTTTTAGTGCCATATACTACGGGATTCTTTAATGCTAAATAAATTGCCACCGGATTCGCCGGATCCTGTTTAATAATAATGTCTTCCATTTTGAATGGTTCCGTTTGGCTCAGACCGAAACTTTC